CCCCGTAAAAAACAGAACCAAATATGAGGTTTACAATCGTGTAGAAAAAAAAAGTTTCGTGCAGATTTATATATATATATATGTATGGATGAGACTCGTTGTGAAAAGTGATTCATCCCCCATTTTTTTGGCTGCGTCCCTGCAACAGCCGCAGCATTGCAAACAACCCCATCATAGTCGTTATGAGGCACCGCACAAATATTCGTGGCCTCTTCCGGTCGTATACACTGAGAGAGTGCGAGTGAGAGAAAGAGAGAAAAGCAGTGAGTGCCAGAGAGTGGCCCGGCAATGGCTGCTGAACGATAACGGCCCGTTGATAAGGGCCTACTTCTCTTTTGCCGCTTTAATATCTCCTGTGCGCCTGCCTTTTTAATTATTTCTCCAACGATAATGGGCGTCGTCCTCTAACTTTTTTTTTCGCGAATATATATGTATAAAGAAAAAAAAATGGTGAAAAAATAAAACAAAAATGTCATTATATGTTCTATATATATATATATATATATATGAAAGAAATTCTTCTTCCGGATCGTTCTCACACTTTATATACAAGATAAATACATACTGAGTAAATTCTTCAGAAAAAATTTTCTGACATTATCAAACATTTATACTTTTTTGTCAAATAATTTTTTCTTTCCATTGAATTTAAAAAATCTTTCTTTTGAAAAACAATTTTTATGCACAATATTACCTCATATTAACATGTAATATTACCCCATATTAAATTGCAATATTACCCCATAATAGATTGTAGTTTTACCCCGTAGTACATTGCAGTATTGTCCCATATTACCCCATATTAGATTGCGGTTTAGATCTAATATATTAGTCTATATACAATATTGCCCCATTGATAAATATTGCTCTATTATTATGGTACAATTATATACTTTAACATTATAGATATTTATAACAGTAATTTTTTTATAATATTACTAAGGTACAATATTGCACTCATTGGGGCAATATTGATATACAAAGTAACTGTATATATAACACCGTCCGACACGATTTTTGACCAACAAAAAAATCCAACATTTTCGGAAACTAGGACCCAAAAAAAATACCCGTGTCTGGCCGTTTTGCTAGATCAAGTCGTTTGTGGTTTTTAGGGGTGAAAAAAACCCCTAAATGAAAAGTGACAAGATATCTTTTAAAAATTATTAATTTTTTATAAAACTTGGTATCTGGGGGTTTTCAGGGTCGCTGATTATTAATCTGATGTCAGATTTTCAAAATTCAAAATGGCGGATCCAATATGGCGGTCAAAATTTTAAGAAGTTATTAATTTTTTATAAAATTTAGTATCTAGGGATTTTTGGGGTCGCTGATGTCGAGTTCGATGTTAAATTTTCAAAATTCAAAATGGCGGATATAAAATAAAAAATTAATAACTTTTTACAAATTTGATCGACAAATTGTATCCGCCATTTTGAATTTTGAAAATCTGACATCAGATTAATAATCAGCGACCCCAAAAACCCCCAGATACCAAGTTTTATAAAAAATTAATAATTTTTAAAAGATATCTTGTCACTTTTCATTTAGGAGTTGTTTTCACCCCTAAAAATCACAAACGACTTGATTTAGCAAAACGGCCAGATACGGGTAATTTTTTTTTTTGGTCCTAATTTCCAAAAATGTTGGATTTTTTTGTGGGTCAAAAAAAAGTTGAATTTTGTTGGACGGTGTAATATGAAAATTTGTGCTCGGAATTAATACTTTCCCCAGTGACAAGTGTAGATAATATTATGTTGGATTAATATACGAAAGGAACAAGTTAACATTTCTCATTGGCCTATTCGTTTATATTCGAGCGAAATGAAAAGATTGGGCGCAATTGTCTCGTCCTGTATAAAAGGAGCATAACATTCCACTGACCCCGTGAGCTAAACGTGCTATGCGTCCCCCTCAAAGTTAAGGAGAGTATATACACGTACATTAATATAAATATATCATACAAAAAAAAAAAATAATAATCTTTTACTCAAAATAATTTTCCTGTACTGTACTCATTTTGAGCTACAGTAAAAATAAGTGACTTATTTTAAATTTCGAACAAAAATTTAAAAACTAATGAACACAGTATCAGGTTTATTTTTAAATTAATACGTATAATTTTGAAGGTTATTTTGTAAACTTATAGTTTATTCTAAAACTTTGAAGCTTGTTCAAATAAAATTTCAATGTTGAAAACAACCTTTAAGATTATTCTTAAAATGTGTTCTTAATTCTTAATTTCTTAAAATACTTCAAAATTACTTTTCATAAGGTTGTAAAAACAAAGTGTAAGATTCTGAAACAAAATTTTAACCTTTATTAGTATTAATATATATGTATGTAACCTATTAAAGGAAGTAAAACAAATTGAAATTTTTTTGAACAAACAATTAAAAACCTTAATATATATTTTAAAAGTTTGTTTTACAACCTTATTGAAAATTAGTTTACAAATTAAAAATTTATTTTTCATTGTTCAAAATTATTTTAGAACCTTAAAGTTAATTTTACTGTCTTTTTAAGTTTTACAATATTATATTTGAACAACCTTAAGATTTATTTTAAAAATTTGTTTTACAACAATATGAAAAATTAGTTTACATCTCTAAAATAAGTATTCCTTTCTTCAATGTTACTTTACAACCTTAAATTTTATTTTACATGTTTGTTCTCCAATGTTTAACTTCATTTTACAACCTTAATTTATTTAGATAAATATATACTTTCTTCAATATTATCCATAACATAAAAATGTATTTCCAAATCTTCAAAAATTATTTTGCGAATGTAACAAATAAATATTTGATTCATTCAAATAAAAGTAAATACAATTAAATAATTTCGTAAAACATAACTAGTTAACGGATATAAAAATGCATTTTGTTGATTATTGATTAAACCAAAAATTAGGTTGAATGAAGTACATTTTTTTTTTCCTGTGAGTTGAAGGTCGACCCAAATCGAAGAAGGGTCCAACGTTTATCGTTGAGCACGGGGTGAAAGGTTAATTAGCCGGATGTAATTATCAAGTAGAAATATGTCTTTTTTTTGTGTCCGTACAAGGGTGGGGAAGGTTGAAGACGGCTGTTTGCGTATCGACTAATTTCACATCGAGAAATGACTCACAGACACTTTACTGAAAACGTGAACAGAGTGCTTTTCCGCCAGTGTGGTGGTGCAATTAACATCACTTTGGTCCTCAAACCCTCTTTTCCAAAGGGGGGTTTTGTTGAGAAAGAGATGGGAGAGTAATAGTTTTACTCAGTCTCTCACAGACTCTCATTCATCTTCTCTCTCTCTCTCTCTTATATATTCTCTTTCTCTCTTGCTCTCGTGGTTCTTTTATGATTACTCTCTTCAACAAGAACCCTTTCTCTCCCTCTCTCTCTCGCGCGTATTTAGTCTCCTCAACGTTGGCACGGCAACCGATAGTTCTCTCGCGCTCACCCTTTTGTATTCTCTCCCTCTCCAATTTCTCTCTCTCTCTCTCTCTCTCTCCTCTTTCCACCCTTCGTTAACCGATGCGAGGCCATCGTCCCAAAAACATTGACCTTTCTGTCCCTGTTATCTCATGGTCGGTCAATTCTCGACCTCTCGATTGTCCAACTCATATATATATATGGTTGGCGATATGCGATGTAATGTAGCTTCCGAGACACGGCGATCGTTTCGAGTTGATAAAGAAACGCTTACAAACTTATTCAATTCTAAAGGTCATATATCTAACCAGTACCGCACGTATATATACACTCGATCATTTTGAATTCTATTTTAACCTCAAATAGTTTTCTTGAAAGTCTTTTATTCTTTCTTTCACTTGAACAAAAAAAGAATATAACTTATTGTTTGTAAACAAAAGGAAGTTTTTTCTAAACACTAATACACTGAAAAAAATTTAACCTAGTAATTCAACTATCGTTGGATAATTCCATAATTCAGTCACATTTCACTGAAAATCAGTAGAATTATTGCTGATTTAAACTGCATTACGTTTCAATCATTAAAGAATTCTACTAATTTTCAATAAAATGTGATTGAATTTCAGTGAAAATTATAATATGCTTGATTTAAACTTAAGGAATGCTTTAGAATGGGCGTATATTAATTTTCACTGGAAATCCAGTAGGACGTCCAAAATTTGCTATATCTTTATGTTTATGACACCAACTGCACCTTGCTTTTCTCTATTCTGGTTTCCTTCTATGTATCGGAAAAAGCTACCATTCCCTGCAAGGTGTCACAATTCAGATGTTCCACTGACTATTGAGATTGGCTAAACCGCAATACGCCATCTGGCGTTTACCTATTTCTGACAACCATTTTCCTTTTTCATCTTTCTTTAATTAACACGATAGAAAAAGAAATAAAAACCAAAATGTTTAACAAAGTAGGTAAAAGTCACTCTTTCACTAGATCGCCAATCCCAACACACTAAAAAAGAAATCTTGATTTCAGCCTATTTTTGAGGCTGAATTTAAGGTGTAAACGGAGTCAGACCAATTAAAAAAGGTAAGACTTATGCAAAATATATGGGCTTAATTTAAGGTGTAAACGGTTTAAGACTTTGTTTTTACTGTGAATAGTCAATAAGATTTTGACACGCTTTTTAACCTAAAAAATTGTGGAAAAACGAATAAAGTAACTTTTACCATGTACTTTAAAAGTAAAAGCGGAACTGTCCGCAGTTTTTGCGCGCATTTCTGGTAATTTTTAATCCAAAAATAGTCAAATTTACTCCTGAAATAGTAAATTTTACTATTTTCAGAGTAAAAAATTGACAGAAATGCGCGCAGAAACTGCTGACAGTTCCGATTTTACTTTTAAAGTATAGTAAAAGTTACTTTATTCGTTTTTCCATTTTTCTCCGCGTGCATATATCAAGAATATGATAACTTTAAATCAAACAAAATTTATGTTTAAATGAAATATATATTATTTACAAAAAAAAACAATGTTAATCCTGTGAAAATTAATTTATAATCCTTTTATAATTTCAGGAACGAGTCAAATTTGAGGAACTACGTCAAAAATTTTTGGTGAGTAAAAGCTATTCATAATTATTATAACAACTATAATTACATATATATATGAGAGATTCTTTTTCAATCGCCCCAGCCCAAAAAGTCAATGTTCTGGGATTGGCTTCATACTTTGGTAAATTGTTGTCCTATATGATAGTAATAAATCCCTAAAATATAAACTCATTAAAAAAATATTTGTAGAAAGTAGAGGGGGTTGAAGTTTTGACGTTAAGGGTAACATTGTCATTTTCAAATCCGTATAACTTTGACAAAATTTAATGGATTTTAATTTATCCATAATGAATTTTAATGCATTTTTCACGTACTTTTCAAAAATGTATACGAAATTTAAAAAAAAAAATTTTTAACCCCTTTTTTTCAAAATCAACCCTTACACTGGAGTCTCCCAAGAGAGGACTTCTGAAGAGAGGACTAAGTAGTGACGCGGCGCGGTAAGGAGTGAGGGGGGAAGAGATGGGCGGGATCAGAAAGAGGAACGTGAACTCAGGAGCGTTTGTTTTTAGTGTACCTTTCTCGCGTAGTGTTTTACAAACGTAACAGAATGTATTCTGTTAAAAAAACACATCTCTGTGATACGATATACGGCCCTGGAGTGTTTACAATTTTCGGCGTCAAGGACGAATTCCGTAGAGAGGTCCAAGACTCTTTCTGTCCTCTCTTCGGAGACTCTAGTGTATTTTTCGATTTTCACCCCTTCGGGTATTTTTTTTTTTTTTTATTTTCATTGGAAAGCTGAGGTTTTTTCCGATGAGCTATGTAAATATGAAAATGGGACAACAATAATTTTGTGAGAAACAGAATATTAAAGTAGGCGGTACCGATAAGGGGTGTACCTGGAGATCATCTTTGAGGATTTAGATAGGCACCGCCTAATTTAATATTATGTTTCTCACAAAATTATTGTTGTCCCATTTTCATATTTACATAGCTCATGGGAAAAAACCTCAGCTTTCCAATGAAAATAAAAAAAAAACAAAAAAAAATTCCTGAAGGGGTGAAAATCGAAAAATAAGGGTTGATTTTGAAAAAAAAGGGGTCAAAATTTTTTTTTTTTAAATTTTGTATACATTTTTGAAAAGTACGTGAAAAATGCAATAAAATTCATTATAGATAAATTAAAATCCATTAATTTTTGTCATAGTTATACAGATTTGAAAATGACAATGTTACCCTTAACGTCAAAACTTCAACCCCCTCTACTTTCTACAAATATTTTTTTAATGAGTTTATATTTTAGGGATTTATTACTATCATATAGGACAACAATTTACCAAAGTATGAAGCCAATCCCAGAACATTGACTTTTTGGGCTGGGGCGATTGAAAAAGAATCTCTCATATATATTGTTATTAAATATTTGTTCTAATCATTTTGACGATTTCGATAAAATAATAGAGACGATTTTAAAGAAAAGAATCTTTAAAAATAATTAATACTGACATTAATTTTGCAATTAATAATTAGTCTATAAAAACAAATTCAAAATTTTTCACTATAACACTTAAAAGAATTCTAATTTTCTATAATCAAATCGAAAAATTCAAATTGGACCATAAAAAAACTTTTTAATTAAACTCTATCTTCTATATAAATGAGACAAAAAAATTAATTATAATTACATATGCAAATTAATTAATTATAAACTAAAGCAAACTTGCAAAAAAATTCGTTAGTTTATTAGCGTTCTAGATTTCTAAATACATATAATGTACATAAAGTCGACAAAATCTAATTATAATCAGAAATTCTTTTTAATTAAAGTCGTTGCCCTATAAATGAAAACAAATCATAAAGTATATATATTATGCAGGAAAACAAATAATGTTGACTCTCTTTTTAAACGAAAGAAAAAAAGAAAGATGGGGTCGAAAGGTCAAATAATCTGATTAAGCAAAGTGTTTTTGATCGTTTAATGCGGACCGCACATCAGCCATAGCTAGCGGCGGCAGCAGTACCAACACCACGACTGTTCTCGGGTCGACCAATAACCATATTCCAACCACCCCCCAGATGGTTAAGTTTACTTTCATTCTCACTTTACATATACTTCTACCCCTACTGGTCCATATACATAGCGTAGCCTAAGTCCATTAACTATAGAGGTTCCAGCTGAGTTTACTTAACGCCTCGATTTTAACTCAGATCACACCCCCCCCCCCCCAACCCCCTTTCTCTCAAGAAAGTGAAAAGTTTTATTAAACGACATCAAACAAAATTTTTTTTAATTGAATCAGTGACGACGATTAGGATAATGTACAGAAATTGAAATAAGGGCCTGATGGGGTGCTGACTAGTTTTCCCTATCTCTCATTTGGCCCTTTTCAGAGAAACTGACTGGTGCCCTACACCAGCTTTTTACGCTGCTCCTGGCAAATACTTAGGAAAATACTGATCAGGGCCTTGTCTCAGTTTTCCATTAAATTGCCCTATTATGTAAGATTTTTATTTTAATAAATTAAGATATTTACAATTTTTTAATTCTAATTTATATTCTGTTTGAAATTAGAACATTAAACTATACAGTTTATAAACTACTTAGGAATAATTTTGAAAAATCTCTCAGGAATGGGGAATCGAACCCAGAACCCTTGGGATTCAAGCCGTGTACTATAACCTCACAGCCACTTTCAGTTACAGATCTTTTTTTAACACTTCTTCTTGGATTATTTTCTGTTTGTTATAACATCTACATTTAAATTTTTACATCTAATAAAACTGGTTAGGCCCTGACATAATGTTAGTTTGTACAACTATTAAAATACAAAATTTAAATTTGTAATATTGTTATATTTTTAGAAATAAATTAACTTTTAATTTTCTATTGTACAAAATTAAATTTTCTAATAATTAAATAGTTGGAATTTATCAATTAAATCAATTCAGTAAGATTTCCACTGAAAATCAATAGCATTGTTACTGACTTAAACAGTCAAATCTGCATTTTCATTAATCGGTAAAACAGATTTGACATAACCTAAAGTACCTCAAAATTTTAAAATCAAGAAAAATTTGGATCTATATAAGTCTTACTATGATTACATTATGTTTTTGGGGTCACTGAATACGAATTTGAAGTCTATTTAACCCCATCACGTCAGACTTTTGAAACAAACCCAAAATTTTGAAATCAAGAAAAGTTCTGACTTATAAGTCTTACCATGTCTAATTTATGTTTTTTGGGTCCGTGAAGCCAAATCTAAAGTCTATTTAACCCCATCACTTCAGGCTTTTGACATAACATAAAAAAACATTTAAAAAATCAAATTTTGAGATTTTTTCGAGGTTATGTCAAAAGCTTGCAGTGATGGGGTTAAATAGACTTCAGATTTAGTTTCACGGACCCCAAAAACATAAAATAGATATGGTAAGACTTATGAAATCAGAATTTTTCTTGATTTCGAAATTTTGGGGTTAAATTGTGGTATTTCTTGAGTTTGCTTGAAAGCCTAACGTGATTGGGTTAAATGGACTTCAAATTCGTATTCAGCGGCCCAAAAAACATAATGTAATCATGGTAAGACTTATTATTATCTTCATTTTAAAATTTTGAGGTTTTTTGAGGTTATGTCAAATACCTAACGTGATGGAGTTAAACTGACTTCAGATTCGGTTTCAACGACCTCAAAAACATAGTAGTCATGGTTAAAAGATATTTATTATTTAGATTTTTTTCAAACAGGGAAAACTGTTGCGAGACCCTGACTAAAGACCCATTTTAAATAGGGGAATATGGGACAATTTCTGCACGGATAATAATAATAATAATATAGGTGCAAATTACCTTCTTTCTAACTATGTTAAATCAGAGATAACTGTGCGCGGCTTTTCTCTCATTTTTTTTCTCTTATAAAACAAACTTCTTAAAAACCAACGCAACGCGGCAACTGTGTACATATTTCCTTTTTCTCGTTTCGCTGATCTCAGTAAAATTTCTTCTCCAATAATCGTTAATTTCTCCGCTGTTAACGAGGATAGGAACGGCAAATTGCTGCGCATGAATATTCAATTTCTTTTCCTTTGAAAAAAATTATTTTCCCTTTTATCGCGCCGTCGTGGATATTTTCCCTATTTAATAAAGCATATATATAGAGGAGTTTCAAGTATTATGTTCATTATATATGAATTTATTTTTTATTACTGTTTCTTTTTTATTTTTTATTATATTTCATTTACTTTTTTATTATTATTTTTTTTGTTTATACGCTGAGAAAACTATTTCATTATCGTCAATAACAATTGGGACACTGTTTTAATAGAATTTTGTATATTTATTAAATATTATTTATTGTAACTAGAATTTTTTTCAAACAGTTTTGTTTCTTTAATGCAGATTTTTTTTTAATAATATTTTTATTAATAATTTTAATAGTATAGGAATTTTAAACAGAAAATATGGGGTAATAATGAAAATGAGTTTTTTTTAAAGAAACTATTGGTTTTTTTAATTGTGAAAATTTTTCTTGTTTTTTTTAACAAAAGAAATTACATACACAAAAGAATGCTTTGGATTCGTAATCCTTAACGTAAAACCAACTAACTTGATTAACTCTAATCGTTAGTAATTTACTCTCAACCGTTTCGTGTTCCAAGCTTCACAACTGTGACAACGCCAAGGAAATTATTTCTTCATTCAACAAGTACATATTGTTTCATTTGTTTTTTTTTTTTTATTGAACAAGTTAATTGCCAATTATGTAAATTAAACATTTTAATTGGAATTGTAAATTATAAAATATTGTATATATAAGGGAAGAAAGGGGCATGACCAATTAATTAAGGATTTTTGAGTTTATAAATTTTATTTCAAATAAATATCGAAAATAAATCGTTAGGATCATTTGAAAATTTTCGAAAATTTTACTTTTTTAGCTATATACATAATTTTTTGCTTAACGAATTTTTTGACGATGAAATATTAAAAATCCATTTAAATGTGATTAGGCTTTATATGCCATTATTATTTAAGTACTCTTATACGAAAGGGTTTTTTTGTA